TGTCCCCTGTGGAGCATGGGTGTCGCCCTGAGGCCGGGCTTCAGTCCATCTTATTCTCTCTGGGAGGGGCGTGGTGCAGGTGCAGGGCAGGGAGGGAGCCTTGGTGGGGGAGGGGAGCAGCCGTTCCCAGAGCTGGAGGAGGACTGAGCCAGAGCCCACCCCATCCACGGTGTGGCCCGCGTGTCCAGTCCCAGTGGAGGACTGAGCCAGAGCCCACCCCATCCACGGTGTGGCCCGCGTGTCCAGTCCCAGTGGAGGACTGAGCTAGAGCCCGCCCCACCCACGGTGTGGCCTGTGTGTCCAGTCCCAGTTGCTGGCACCTGACTGGGGAAAAGGGCATTTGCAGATGGGTGGCCTTTGAGACAAGCTCGTCCCGGAGAATTTGTATGGGCCCCAAATCCAATGACAAGTGTCCTTATATGGGAAGGGAGAGGAGGGACACTGGAGAGCAGCGGAGAGGCCACGTGAGGTTGGAGGCGAGCACGGGTCACACAGCCACAGGCCAGGGAGGACCCAAAGCCACCTGGAGCCGGAAGAGACGAGGAAGCACCCGCCCCTGGAGCCTTTGGGGAGCACAGCCCTGCCGTCCCCTTGATGTGTGGCCATCAGTTCCGGCAGCTACAAGCAGTGACCGCAGGGCAGGCGGCCTGAGTGCGTGCATGCGCCCCACTGGGCCTCTCTCGCGCCCCACCGCGCTGTCTGAGATGCCGACCTCCTCATCCCTGCCTGCAGCTGGGGAAACTGAGGTGCTGGACACTTAACTCGCTTGTCCGGGTGGTGCAGACGCCCAAGAGTGGTTTGTTTGGACACAGCCGTCCTGAGCTCATGTGATGGTTAGAGCTGCCAGTTGGGCTATCCCGCCCGTGTCCAGGCTCCACCTCGTGACATGGTGACCTCACGGCTCAACCTGCAGCCGCTCTGTGCCCTGGCCAGTGTCCTAGCCTGAAGGTGCAGGGAGGATTTGATCCCATCGAGCGTGCTGTGGGTACTCAGTGATGGTCTCTGTGGGGGCTGTTGGGGGCCCCTGAGGAAGCAGCAACAGCGCGGGATGCGGGAGGTTCTGGCCGCCGGGAACCCGCCTCAGTTCACATGGTTTCCATGCCACCATCCCATCTGACCTTCAGAACAAAACTGGCGTGACACAGCCCAAGGCTGCCCACGTCCCCCAGGGCTGATGGAGAGTGGGGACCGGGGGTCCAGCAGAGCCCCCAGCCCAGCCCAGCTGCATGTGGAAGACAGACCCCCGCCCCTGCTGGTCTGCAGAGGAGCTCAATGTGGGGAGTGCTGCCTACGGGCATCATGATTATTCAGGCAGGCGAGGCCAGCAGGTGAGGAGACCCTGGCATGGAAGAGATGGTGCTAACTCATAGCTTCCGGTAGGAGTGGGAGCTGACCCCATGCGGCCACGTGGGCGGTACCGGGTGGGTCAGGAGGCAGAGGGAGGAGGAGGGGAACTTCTAGGAGCTTCACCACGGTTTCTGTAGGAAGGAGCAGGTGAGGCCGTCAGTGCCGCTCGCTGGGTGTAGGGTTTGCAGCGGGAACACTTTCAGAGCTCTGGGTCCTAAAACCTGTCCTTGGTGGTCTGGAACCTGGCTCTGGGGCCATGAGGGCAGGGACAGTGGCCAGGAGTGTGGGAGCCGGAGAGAGGAGGGCTGGGGGTGGGGGGCATTTGCGACGTGAGCTCATGAAGGCGTTGTCACTCTCTGGGAACTGACTGACCCTGGGAGGGGCTGCCCCTCCTGCGTCTGCAGGGGCCTAGACGCTGAAGCTTCAGAGCAGAGAAAACAAGACACAGGTGGAACCGGGGGTACCGGGGCTGCTGGGGGCTGCTGGGGGCTGCTGGGGGCTGCTGGGCCGGGTCTGAGGCTGCCCTCTTTCTGCCTCCCTCCCTTCTTGTTCGCAGGTTGGCGGAGTCTTGCGTGGCTGGGAGCTAGGGGCTCCCATCAGGGGACACCCAGGTTAGAAACCAGAACCCGTCAGTGGCAGCCAGCTCTGGGCTCGGCCGTTTAGGGCGGTGGCTCCTGCCGGGTGCTCTCAGTGCCTCGAAGCCTCAGTGCTTGAGAAGTTCACGTGACCTCATGCATGTTACACGCGTGGCCAGCGCCCAAGGCAGAGTCACGGCTTGGAACGCACTGGCTCTGCTGCTGGTGAGAACCAATAGCTGAAGAGAAAAATACCCCTTCATGAAATCAGCAGGTCTGACACGCATCCGTGACCACACATGGGGGTGGTGGGGAACCCAGGGGCGAACGGACTGGAAGCCCCGTAGCCAGCTGGGCAACATGTGGGCACCGCCAGGGTGGGCGGGTGAGGTGTGCTTCAGAGGAAACTTTCAGGGCTGTGGAAGAATTGTGCAATTTCACGAGAAAAACAAAACAAAAGCCGACGTCATGGTTTAGGTATGTTTGCTTTCATTTTTCCAGCGTGTGAGCCGCCGAACCAGCCGAGGAGTGAGCGCGGGCCTTGCCCCGTGAGGGCGCCATGCAGCGCAGGCTGATTTACAGACTCACCTGGTGATGGGGAGGGGATGGGACGCTGCCGCAGGCCTGTCTCTGTCCCTGTTGTCACACACACAGGCCTCACACACAGCCTCCCTCGGCCCTGAGGAGGGAGCGGGTTACAGAGGCTCCCGGGAATGTTGGCTGCCCCCAGCAGCAGCCGCCTGTTCCTGGGAACTCTGCTGGCTGCAGCAGCCCCTCGGGGACCTGGGGGCAGGTGGGCAGGGTGGGCTGGGCCCTGGCGGAGGAGCTTTGCCTGTCACCCGGGCGGAGGCGTCCTTTGAGTGGGGCAGCCCCAGCATCCTAAAGGGTGGGGTCTAGGGGTTGAGGGCAGCCAGGGGTCCCTGGTGGAGCCTTGTAGCTCCGGGGGCAGAAGAGGAGGCGCAGGTTGGGCAGGGGCGGGTGGGAGCCTGGACAGAAGCTCGGCCTCCAATTTGGAGCCCCACCCGCACAGTCCTAATGTCCTGAGGTTTCAGGGACCGCAGAACTGGAGGCTAACCTGGCAGATCTGGGGCCAAGGGGATACCCCACCAACATCCTGGGCCCTCAGGCCGTACCCCTGCAGCCATGCCTGCTGTCAGAGTGGGGGCAGGCTGGGCCCACTTTCCGTGGAGACCTCGGATGAAGCCGCATTTCCCGGACTCCGTGGGAAGGGCTAATAAGCAGGCATCTAGAGCTGCCCCTGATCCCCTGGATGCTAAGGCAGGCTCTTTGGGAGGGACTGAGCACTCGAAGGGTCCCCAGTCTCTCTGGACCCTTATGCAGCAAAGGGGTCTGGGTGAGGATGGGGCTGGGGTTTGGGGAGCCAGTGTGGGGCTGAGGGCACCTGAGCTCGCCCTGGTCTGTGTGGTGGAGGGTGGGCTGGGGGTCACCTTCTGGCTCTGCCACTTTCTTGTGGTCCTGAGCGGCCACGTAGCCCCTCTGAGCCTCGGTGGTCTCATCTGGAGAGTGGGAGCAACTTCCTACATTACTACAAGGATTCCCGGGATCATGCCCACGGCAAGGTCATGTCCGTGAGAGTCATCTGTGCTTTTCCTCCTGGTTCTTCCTTGTTCTGGGGGAAGTGTATGTCCTGGGACTGAAAGTGGAATTTGTGGACAGGCCACTTCCCTTTCTGTTCTCGTTTGTCAGCTGAGGAATTGAGGTTGCTAATCCTGTCCTGGAGGCAGGGAGAGAGTGTCCTGCCCAGATCCTGGGCTGGAGATCAGTTGGGAGGAGGTAAGTCCCGGAGCGGGGCTGGAGGGGCTGTCGGAGAGGCGGGCCCCACCCCTGGGGCTCCCAGTCTCCAGACCGGCCAGGGACGCATGGGAGCAGGGGGTGAACGCGCTGTGTGGGCTGGGGCGGGCCCAGTGCAGGCCCCACGGGGTGAGGAGGGTGGTGGAGCTGGATTCTAGGGTAGGGTGCTGACCAGGGGTCTGTGACCCTCACCCAGACTCAGCAGGGACAGGCTCAGTCATGGCCAGGAGGGAATGTCCCTCCGTCACCGGGCGTGGAGGCCGGAGTCAGAAGTCAAACCTCTCAGATGCCTCAGTCTGCGGCTCAGACTGACATTGCAGACTTGGATGTCGGGCGCTGGTAGCAGTGGAATCAACACCCGTTTCTCTTGGGCTCACGAGAGGCTGGGCAGGCCTCACAGCACTGGATCTCATATTTCACAGACGAGCAAGCAGAGGTGGGGGGGCGTTCAGAGACTGGGCCGTGGTGACTCAGTGGGGTGACCAGCAGGGCTCAGCCCAGGCTGTGGGCTCCAAAGCTCCGGATCCTAGCACCCCCTGGCAGGTGCTCTGGGGTGGCAGCCAGGCCTGGCACTCAGGGGAAGCTGAGAAGCCTGCTGAGGGTGAAGCCCGGGTTCCTTCCTTAGAGGGTTCCTCTGGAGCCGACCAGCCCAGGGCAGAGGGTGGGCTGCCTCACACGGGGCAGACAGGAAGCTTTCTGGTTGCTGAAGGCCTGGGTCCCATGGGGAGACAGGGCTTCGGGCTGCTGGGGGTGGGCTGTAAGGAGCCTCTCCGCCCACCCAGGGTGCAATATCTGGGGACACCCATGGGGCCAGCTTTTCCGAAGCTCCAAGCGAGGGCTGTATCTTTCAGGTCTGAGTCGCGTGCCTTGAGCAAGGGACCGATGACCAAGGACAGCCCCCCAGCCTTCTGGAAGCCAGCCTCAGCCCTGCTTTTCCTCATGTGTGCTGGGGTTGGGGGTACGGCTTTGGATCCACGGACACCCTATGCTGATGGAATGAGTGGCTTTGTGGCATCACTGCATTTTCCTGCTTAAAACCTGCGACAACATAACGGGTCCAGGACACAAAGGCTTCGGGCCGCTTTGGACACAGTTCATCGGGGCCGGCAGTCAAGTCTTGGGCAGTCTTCAATTTTAGGGTCAATTTAGCTGCTGCAAGGGTACATGGTGAGCTGAGGACGGTTGTGTTCTCCGTGGGTGCACCTGCAGCGTGAGGAAGGAGGGGCGGGAGGGTCTGCCCCTGCCCCTCACCTGGTGCCTGGACCGGCTTCCTTCCTTTCTGGGCTCTCCCCACTGTAGCTGAGCAGGGAACGGGTGCCTGTGCATGAACTGTCAGGGAGGTTTCCCAAAAATGCACATTCCTGGGACTTCTCCCCAGAAACCCGGCCCACCTGCCTGGGCATATAGAGATCTTGCCTTTCCAGCTGCCTCCCAGGGGAGCCTCGTGCCCGGGAGCCAGGGTCACAGCTTCGACAGCACATGACCGGGTCACCCACCAAGGCCTCCTCCAGGTCCAGCTGGCCCCAGCCTCTGACCCCACCGTCTTCCCGGAGGCAGGAGGGCAACTCCTCCTGGCTCCCAGAGGCTGAGCTGGGGTCGGGGCCCCCAGGGCTCAGGCTGCTATGTCCACCAGGCCCCGGCGGGAGGTGTCCCTGGCGGCCCCCAGCTCAGCCTCGTCTCCAAGCGCCCGCTGGAGGACCAGCCGGAGGGGCAGCCTGCGGCCCTGGGCACTGCCCAGCCAAAAGTAGACGCCGGGCTTGGCGGCGCAGTGCACGGCGGCCATGAGGAAGCTGAAGTGGTAGAAGTAGTGGGGGATGTGCCAGAGCAGGTTCCGGGACAGCCAGTAGATGCCGAAGGGCAGGCCGCAGAAGAGGAAGAGGAGGACGGTGAGGAGGACCAGCGCGGGGAAGCCCCGGGGCGGGGGCCGCTGGGGGCCTCGCTCCAGGTGCAGCAGCAGCAGCAGGCTGGCCCCGCACATGGTGCAGCACAGTGTGGCCAGCAGAGCCGCGGCCGCCAGCCACAGCGCCCGGCACAGGTGGCGGCTGGGCTCCCCGAAGAACTGGGTGCAGGCGCCGCTGAGCAGCAGGTGCAGGAGCAGGCAGAGGGCCCAGGTGAGGGCGCACACGCAGGTGGTCAGGTGGCGTGGGCGGTGGCACGAGTGCCAGGCCGGGAAGAGGGCGGCCAGGCACTGCTCCACGCTCACGGCGCCCAGGAGGCTCATGCCCACGATGTAGCAGAAGAAGCGCAGCGTGGCCAGGCTGGTCTGCACGAAGCCCGGGAAGTCCAGCCGGCCTGGCAGCAAGTCGGGGACCACGGCCACCATGTGGCAGCCAAGGAAGATGAGGTCCGCGCAGGCCACGTCCAGGAGGTAGATGGCAAAGGGGTTTCTGTAGACATTGGAGCTGAGGAGCCAGAGGACTGCCCCGTTCCCCAGCAGCCCACCCAGGCCGAGCCCCTCGGTGAGGGACAGGATGACGAGGTTGAAGGCCACGTCTTCCTGGGAGCCATCGGTGGCCTCCCCATGCTGCCCGGCTTCTCTGGGGTCCATCGTGGGGTGGGGGGCAGGGGGTGCTGCGGGCATGTGTCCGGCTCTCTCTGTCTCCTGATGGCCCTGCAACCACAACAGTTGAGTCTGGGGCTCAGGAAGCTGTGCCCCCGCCCCTCCCTGCACTGGGGGAGAGGAGATAGCTAAGGCGTGGGTGGTGACCAGGGGAATGGTCAGCCCCCCAGGAGGAGGTTCCTCTCCCATTTCCACCCTCAGCCACCCGACGTCAGCTGCTCTTCCCTGAGACACTTGGGGGGAAGTTCCCCCCTTCCTCCCTTTCCTATGGTGACCTGGCCTCAAGGGCCTTCTGTGGAGCTGGTCCCTGCAGGCCGGGGTGGGGGCAGGGACAAGGAGATGTGGGAAGAAGGCCCAGACCCCTGGGGTTCCCTGTTTCTAGTGGTGCCTTAATGCTCAAAACGGCCTTATCTTAAAGTCAAAGGCAGAGGAGGATGCACTGCCCATGTCTAATGAGTGGTGTGACCACAGAGGGACAGCTTGCAGTGGCTGGGTGGGCTTTCTGTCATCATCTTAAAGCAGCTCTCAACTCTTTCAGCCTTTCCTTGACCTAACACGAGGGGCTGTTTGCCAGCAGGCTCCCAGGCCCCAGCCGTCCAGTTTAGTACACCACGCAGCTACATCAGGACCCAGGAAATCTGCCTCTCCCCGGCCATGTCCCTGCTGTCCTACGGCAGGACTCAGCCTCTGCGGCGTAGGGGCTCTAAGGCAGGACTCAGCCTCTGCGGGGTGGGGGGTCTACGGCAGGACTCAGCCCTCTGTGGGGTAGGGGGTCTACGGCAGGACTCAGCCTCTGTGGGGTAGGGGGTCTACGGCAGGACTCAGCCTCTGCGGGGTAGGGGGTCTATGGCAGGACTCAGCCTCTGCAGGGTAGGGGGTCTATGGAGAGGCTGCATCCTGCTCAATGTCGCCTGCCCTTTCCCCGTAGGGAGAAGAGGGACCTGTCTGGTGATGGGGCTGGGAGGAGCCCTGAGCTTCCATGGTGTCTCCAGCCTCCCTCCATCCCCTCCCAAGGCAGTTGGTTCACGGGGGCAAGTCCTTCAGAAGGGGTGCTGAGCCCTGGGAGGCAGCGCAAATCCCACGGGAGCTGGGCTGGAATCGGAGTCTTCGTCACAGCTCTGCCGGAGATACAGCAAGTAATAGACGTGATAGGACTCCCTGGTGCTCAGAGCCAGAGACACCTGCAGAGACCCGACCCCACACTGCCCCCTGTGTTTACCTGTGGTTCACGCTGCCCCCTGTGGTTACCTGGGGTTCACGGGCTGCCCCCTGTGGTTACCTGTGGTTCACGCTGCCCCCTGTGGTTACCCGTGGTTCACAGGCTGCCCCCTGTGGTTACCTGTGGTTCACGTGCTGCCCCTGTGCTTACCCGTGGTTCACACTGCCCCCTACGGTTACCCGTGGTTCACAGGCTGCACCCTGTGGTTACCTGTGGTTCACCCTGCCCCTGTGGTTACCTGTGTTCACACACTGCCCGCTGTGTTTACCCGTGGTTCACACGCTGCCCCCTGTGTTTACCCGTGGTTCACAC